GACCACTCATAATGTATCATAATGTAACAGTGGATCATTAACACCGGGCTTTGTCAAAACCCACAGACCTTTACAGCACAAAGACTGATCCTTAATGCGTGCAAGTTAAGAAAACATATTTAAGAGGTTGGGGTATTCCAGGGTGGAATGTAGAATGTGACCGAGCAATCTAACAGAATTACAAATGTACAAAACAATCTCACTGAGGGGCGAGGGGAGGGAAATGGGCTGACCTGAGCAACTCTGGAAGTGGAGCCGATAAAACCGAGGGCAAAGGGTGCTGTACAGAAGCACTGGGCCCCGGTTGATAGAATTATTTATCCCAGGACACGTCTTCTTCCCAGAACACACAGCCCGCATTTAATCAGGTGGTAAATACTAGACACATCTCAACTGAAGGATGATCTGCAGAACACTTAATCGGTACTCAAAACCCGTGAAGGTCATCAAGAACAAGGAACATCTAAGAAACTGTCACGGCCCAGAGGAGCCTAAGGAGAGGTGAGCGGAAATGCCACGTGGTATCCAGAGGGGGTCCTGGAGCAGGACAGAGGACGAGAGGGAAAAGCCAAGAAAAAAACGAAGTATGAACTTTACTTAAAAATAATATATCAATATTGATTCATTAATTGCAACAAAGGTATCATACTATTGTAGGATATTAAATAACAGGTCTACGTATATAGGAAGTTTCTGTCCTGTTAGCAACTTTTTCTGGAAATCTAAAACTACTCTAAAGTGTTACAGTTTCTCTTTAAAAAGATACCGAGAATCATACACTCACAAAAAGTGGAAAATGGAACTGACCGTAAAACCCGTCAATTAAACCCTTTATTTGACGAGGCAGAGCACGGAGGCTTTACAGCAGGTTGGGTAGCCTGGCTGGCTAGCCGCTCAGCCTGGTCCTCAGAGACACCGCAGCACCACCCAGTACACGCAGACACTCAGTAAGTACTTACTGAATGAAGAATCATAACCAAGAACCTACCCTCTCCCCACGTATTTCACCCATTCACTCATTTGTGTGTTAACTCATTCATTCACGTAACAAATACACACTGAGTGTCTGGCACTATCGTTGACTCCTGGAATTAGAATCACTTAGCAGCTCTCTCCCAAGGATGGACATTTTGGCAGTTTCTCCTATCTGACTTTGCAGGAAACTCCGGTTAGCCGATTCGAGGTTATACGTGTCCCCAGGAGACTGGTCTCCGGCCAGGTATTAACAGACCGTAGACTGAGGGGGTGCGCCAGGGAGGCCCCGAGTCCCAGAGGGGAAGCGTTTCGCTTACACACAGGCTGCGGGCTGCGGCTCCGTGAGCCGTGTGTGCCTCCCCCCCGACTCCCTCTGCTGCTCGCTGACGCACCAGGCCAACAGCGGACTCACGTGGTCTCTCCAGTGTCAGCTCCACTGCTCACCAGCTGTGTGATCCTGGCCTTCCTGCCCAATCTTCTGGAGCCTCAGGTCCCCCGACTGAAAAGTTACCCCTCAGCACAAATGTCGCAAGTCCAGAGGAAATCTTAAGGGAAATTTTAGTTCTAATCAAAAAGAATACTGTTACTGAGTTCCAAAATAGAACAGGTGAATGGTTTCTTTTTAACTGATGAAAGACGCTAAAGAAATTTTAAAAAGTCATGTTGTCTGTGGCTCGCTGTTCTTTCAGCAGACACACTGGGAATTAGTTTTCAGGGACCAGGATTATTTTGGAACTCCTTTTGTCAAGGACACTCACATAAAACAGGTCCGACTTCTCTCCTGGGAGGAACTTGTGAAGGTTGAAACCAGCTGTGGCTTCTCTCCGCCCTCGGTGACTCCAGAAGGATTTAAGCCTGAAGGAAACAAGAGAAAAGGAGTCACTTACGGGACCGAGAAGCGGGAGGCTGTAAATCAGGGCTCAGGCGGGAGCTCCCAGGTGAGGGGCCGGAGCAGGGCTTATGTGTTCCCATTTCTTCCCACAAGCTTAAGAGGTCCAAGGTCTAAATTTGTTTACACCTAAGACGTCTCCTGGGCCTTCCTCTGACTGACTGGAAGGATGTGTTGTTGTTGTTGTTTGTTTTTTAGGAAATACTAATCGGCTCGCTTTTCAAATTTAATACCAATGCTTTCAACAGAACTGCTTAAGTTCTGTATCACGAAATGGCTCTGTCATTCATTTGTGGACACTTTCTATTTGTCATAAACCTGACTGGACCTTATATACCTATGTAAGACACACAGACACACGCATATAGTGAGTATCGCATAGCTACCTGGAAGTCTGGGCAGTACATTTGAATGGCCTCATCCACCTCACAGAAGAGGTTGACTCTGGCAGGCTCCAGAGGTTTTCTGGAGACAGATTTCTCCAGAGCATCGTAAGCCAGGGCTCAGCAAGAGGTCTGAGTAAGAGGCCATCAGAAGGCCCCCACATACAAGAAAACAAAGGCTGGTTTCAGGTTTTGTGAACTGCGAACCCCAAGTTACAAGCCTCCAGGACAGCCTCTCCAGTTGCAGGTCGTGGCTGGCAACTCAGCTGCTTCTCAAACGGGCAACCCTGGCCAGTGGACCCCCGGACGAACAGCTGCGGACGTGTCTAAATCAACAGTGTTCAGCGATGCCCCCTCGAAATGCTGGGGAGTCCAGCTGGTGACCCGTCAGTGCCTGAGACGCCACAAGGGGCGAGGACGCCGCGATGCGCGTGTGCGTCTGCGGAGCGGTCTTTCCGGGGCGACTGGGAACGGGATGAGGGGGTGTCGGGCCGTTACCCCCGGAGCAGGGATGTGGAAATTGCTGGATATAAAAATGAACCAACTATTCTGAACAGCTACCAGATTAAACACAGGGACACAACGTGGGCAATGCAATGAAGGAAATAAAACAATGAGACGCACAGGGAAGTAAGAGGACAAGGGAGAACCCGCCGGCGGGAGGCCGCGTGCGGGCCCCGCCCTGCGGCGTAAAGGAGCCCCTGGAGGCCCGGGGCCTGAACCGTGGTTCTCCTCTCCCTCGCACTCACACATTCCTACGTGTTCCTCATACTCATAAATTACCCCTCTCCGTGGCATCGTCTCCACTTAGTAACCCGCACAGGAAACTTAGGGCTACGCACGCCAAGGAAGGGTGCGGGCAGGTGCACACACGCCTCCCATCTCTTCCTGGACCCCCGCCACGGGCTGCGGCCGCAGTAAAGCGCAGACCAGAGACCCCCGCTCTCGGGGCTGCGGACCGCGCCGGGATTCGCGGGTCTTCAGTTTGCCGCGCGCTCCTCCATCCCGGGGGTGTGGGTCCACGGGGCCTTCCGCTCCCCTCCCTCCTCCCTGAAATGCGCTTCCCTTGACTCCCGGGACAGCTCCGCTCGCTCTTCCGCTGTTCTCTTTCTCTAGTCGTCCCTGGAGGGCCGGGGTCCCCGAGGTCCTGATCTCAGCCCGGCTGCCTTCTCGCTCGGGAACCTGTCTGAGCGGCACTAGGGCCAGAGCCTCACTGCAGGGTCTCCTGGGTGTGGGACCCTGGGCAGGCCGCCCCACGTCTCCGATGGGTCCTCGTTTACAAAATGGGGCCAACAAGAGGCCCAGGAGGGAGAGTAAATGAGTTCAGACGTGTGACTGCTTGGCACACAGTCAGGGCTCCGCCACTCTGCAGTGGGACAGCCATGGCTTCCGCTCTCCTTTTGTGAGAAACTCCGTCAGTCACTTAGTTGACGTTCTGTGGATTCGTGGAAAAACCCGAATTCTCCAGCCCGTGCTGCTTTCCTGGGCTCCAGGTGCATTTAACCAACAGTCTGCTGACACCCCAGTTAGCCCGGGGCGCCTTCCACTCAACATCCACGAGCCAGCGCACCCCAGCTCCGCGCTCCTGCCCAGCCCCAGCCGTCCTTCGCCGCTGTTCTTCGTCCGAGGTGAGGAGCAGCGTCAACCACCCGAGAGTCCAAACCTTTGAGAAGCTAGTAAAGCCTCCCCTCCGCTCAGCATCTCCTACACGGAACATGGACATCGAATTGCAGTTTCACAGAAGCTCGCTGCAGTTCTGCTTGCTGGCCCTCTTCTCCTGCAGGGGATCCCTCTCCCCGCCTCCAGCCCCCTCTGCCCCCACATCGCCCTCCTTTCAGGCTGCGGTCGGCAGGTTCATCCTCTCTAACGGTTTTCATCACCTTTCTGTCCACTTCAGGATAAAATCCAAAACTTTCATCAGAGAGGGAGGGACTTTATCCCCGTGCCCTTCCTTCCCGGTCCTCCTATTGTGCCCCCTCCCACCCCCAGTTCCGGCCACGCTGCCGTGGTCCCCAAAGTGACCTCCTCCCCTCCACCCTCCCGCCCCTGTTAATCCAACCAGGACCCTTGCTGATGCCGTTCCCCGTTCTCCACCCAGGTCGCCCTGCTCCACCACCGTCTCTCACGAGGCAGTGAAAACAACGCAGACAAAAGGACAAGGAGCAGGTGCCACGCTTCCAGCTCGGTTTGCTCCAGACTGAAATTCCTTTCGTGGCTTGATTTCTGAGGCACAGACTAGATTTCTTTTTTCGTCATTTCATTTTTTGTTTTCTGGTGACAGAGGAGCCTCTGGGTGAGCACCTGGTGAGTGGGAACAGACCTTCTACTGACAGTCACAGTAAGAGATCTGGACGGTGAGGAACACCTGGTGAGAACACACACAAAGAAAGCACGAAAGGGGCAGGGATGCTCGGCCGGACGCCTTCCAGAATCTCAGTGGCCGAGCCTCCTCCGCTTTGTCTCTGTCTCTTGTCTCTCGGACACACATTTCCCTCAAGGTAAAAATCACTCTCTCTCTGTTCTTTTTTAGTCCCTGAGGTTCTACATTTTGTTGCTCCCAGCGTCTGCCTCTCTGGGGTTCTCACACAGACCAGTTATTTCCTTCTCTGAAGGAGCTACTGGTTCACTGCCGCCTGGTCTGGAAGAAGCCAGGGAGGCAGTCCTTGCTGCCCGGTGGCCCCCCGCCCCCTCCCGCCCCCTCCCGGTGCAGCGGTGAGGCTGTCAGTCCCCGGAGGGGGCCAGGCAGACAAAGGTCCTTCTGTTACCTCCTTCCAGCACCTCCTCTCTTCCCCTTTTGCCCAAACTCACCCACTGAGTTGGAGCATTTAAGAAGATTCCTCCGCCAAGAAGACCAAAGGAAAGAAGAAGAAAAAGGGTAGGTACCTTCTTTTCTTAAAAAGTCATCTTATGTCGTTTCTTCTACTGCAAAGTCCTGCTCTTGATGAGAGCAGAAGTGTATTTATGTGCTGGGTCGGAAGAGAGAGTCAGAGAGGGGCTGTGAGGAGGTGATACATGTGCACTTTGAGAAAGTTGATGCTTCCTAGGATAAAGGGAAAGAATCTGACGAAAAGAGCAGAGAAGACGTGCACTCAAGGGAAAGGCACTTAATTAGAGCTTAAAAAGAGGCAGTCCCTCGCGGCTGCCCCTCACTACAGCCCACGTCCGCTCTGAGTCTGGTCAGGGCTCTGTGGAGGTGATGACGCCTCTTCATTTCTTTTTAATGAAGCAGCTGGGTCTCTGTCTTCCTGCCTTACATGAAGTTAATGGCAATGTCTAAGAAAGCGAATTTTTTGTTTTGTTTTATTTTGTTTTTGCTTTTAAAAGTCCTGATTCCTAACAAGAAACTGGTATAAAACATGTGGTACAAAGAGGGAATTCATTGAATTCATCCTTGGTGTCCCCACTGTGGAACACAACACGGTGTCTGTATCACTACCATACGGGGAACCCTTTTTTCCTTTGGGGCTTCTAAAAATTCCTCTTTGAAATTCCTTAGCTTGGTTACATAGGCTGCGAAGAGCTCTCCCCAAAAGCTGGTCCATTCATCCAGTGAAGCTGGTTTACTGTGGCCAGGAAAATGATGAGAATGATGCAGGACTGGACCCCATTGGCATCCTCTGAGATGCGCGAGGGCAGGTCCCCCTCAGGGAGAGCGTGGACTCTGCTTTTCTGCTGGTGAAGGTCCCCTGGGTGTCTGGGCTGACAGGGTCTGTTTTAGAGCTTTCTCATACCACCCTGTTCCTCTAACCCACGCTAGGAAGAGTTTCCCTTCGGCACTCTCTCATTCTAACACAAACCTCTTCCAGTACAGTTAATAAGAAAAAGAGAGAATTTAAAAACTAACAGTGACTTTCAGCCTCCAAGAAAGATGAAAGGGAAACGTCACAGGCTGGACGGCCATTTTAATCTCTTCCAACTCTAATTCGGGTATTTTAAATGTCGAGTTCTGGGGCTGGAATTTTCATTTGCTTTTGCAGCCTCTGCTTCTGTCTTGCTGTCAGGAAAGGAATCTGAAAAGGGACTGCCCTTTCTGTCCAACCCATCAGCTTTGTTCCATCCCACGGCTCTGAACCCCAGTTCCCAGCACTGATGCCCGCTGTCTGCAGGAGCACTGCTCCACCAAGGTCTGAACACGCACGACACAGCCCTCTTAGTGCTGGCCATTTAATATGAGATAATTTTCTTTTGAAGTCTCCACTTAACTCCAACCATTCAAAAGCTTTCTGGTGCCAAACACCCTCACACAACCAAAATTTTCAATTTCCAACCTACATGGTGGTGGGAATAACTTACTGTTTAATTGGAAACATTCTGCCCATAGTTCTGTGTTCTCCGCATTGACCTTTCTGTGCCGCTGCTGGGATATGAATGGTAACTTACAACACTGGGAACGATGTTAATTACACAAAACTGACTCTAAAAAAACCAAAGGGTAACTATCTAGAGATAGTTATTCCTTCAGATGTTCAGCTTTTAGCTTTGTTTTCTGCTGTAATTTGGGTGTACTCCAGGAGGAATTTTTAGTACATGTACTTCAACTAGAAGAGGGGGAAAAAAAAGAGCCATTTGCTTCGAATTGGCCAAAGTCATTTCACTTCTGTTGGCACTTGAGAGTATATGATCTGGATGGATTGCTGAGGATTAAGGTTGGTGTCTTTTAATGAAAAAACAGACCAGTGTATCATAGGAACATACTGGTACAGACAATTTCCCATTTGCCAAAGAACAGTTAAAGCTATTTATCTGCACTCAAATGAAGGAAGAAAGAAGACTTCAGTTCAGACTTGTAATTTATAAGGTGTTAAAAAAAAATCCAAAAGCCTGCCAGTGAGTGAGTGCTTGCCAGGCGTGGAACTTTCCATGGCAGTGTGTGACTGAGGCAGACAGAAATGCCCTTCTGTGCTCTGGCCTGGACACAGTCAAGACGGGCCCCTGGCGGGGCAACCTCCCCACTCACATCTCCCATACCACATTTGTTCCTTCCTCCAGCGAATGCATTTTGAACATCTGCTGCCAGCCCAACATGGAAGCAGGCGCCCTGAGATGCAGGAGGAGGCGAGGTGACAGTCCCTGCCTTTGTAGCGCTGGCATCTCCTTCTCCAGTCCCCACACATGGGCTCACGGGGCCTCGGTCCCTCCCCTCTTCTCTTCCCAGTCCCTGCAGCCCTACAGCGACAAATACTATCCGTAAACACCTGAAGACTCACATTTGTATTTCTGACCCTGACCTCCCGACTCACATTCAGCTGCCTGCTCAACGTCTTCACTTCATGATTGACAGGCACCTCAAGTCAACTTGTCCAAAACCTGACTCTTACATTCCCCCCACAGTCGACGCCTTCTAATTCTTCCTCAGCTCAATAAATGTCAGTACCACTCAGGTCAAAAAATCTAAGATGCATCCTTGATACCTTCCCTCTTGCCTCATAGCTTCAATCAACTATCACCAACATCCTCTTTTCTTCTGCTCCCAAGCTTGCCCCATGACCATGTTTCTTCATAGAGTAGCCAAGGATTGTTTTCTTCTGAGACATAAATCAGATCACATCACTATTCTGCCAAAACCATTGAATGGTTTCCCAATATACTCAATAAAATCTAAACTCCTTATCATGTTCTCTCCAGCCCTTTATGACCTTCTCAGATCTTCCCTAGAGTCACAGAATGACCAGCTCCATAAGTGGTCATATAGCTTTTGGTGAATTTCCCATGCCCAGCTGAAGCCACATTCTCCATATGGTGAAAGGGCTTATGACAAAGGCTGACCATGACAAGACACTGTTTAATCAAATTCTCAGTTCTTGTAGCACAGATTATACAGATATGCTTTGGGAACATGGAACAAGGGAGTGCTCAGAGTGGGACGGCCAGATTGGGGACGGATGCTAGGAAGGGATGGGTTTGAGGTTTGCCCTTGATGGACTGTTTGGTCAGAAGTTAACATAGAGAGAAGAGCTGAGAGGAAACAGCCAGGCAGAGGCGTGTGGCCAGGACTGGATGGCGGTCCAGCTATCTGGCCAGCTTAGCAGCTGGATGATGGGATGGAAGGGAAATGGAAGGTGGCTTTAGGATCAGCCCTGAGAAGTCGTCAGTCTTTCTGATGACATGACACCAATCTAGGCTCTTGCTCAGGGTTAAAAAAAAAAGGGTTTTCAGAGACTCATTTATACAACTCTACAAGTATGGGCCAAGCAAGCACCGTGGGAGCCACGGGGTATGTGATGGTGAACCGAACAGAACCTCTCTTTCTGTCGGATGGGAATGGCAGACGTAGAACGAGTGAACGCACAGATGTACCACCTGGATTGTGATAAGTGTCACTAGGGAAAAGAAGAGACATCTTGCAAGAGCCAGGCTGAAACTACTGTAGGCTGGGGGCCCAGGGATGCCTTTAAAGAAATGACACTTAAAGCGAGACTTGACGTCGAGAAGCAGCAGCCACACGACGAGCGTTTCTGCAGGGGGCGGCATACTGCAAGAGCCCAGCACGGAAGCCAGGCGTCTCTTTTATTCTGAGGAAGGACGCTCTACATCTTTTATTGCCATAGGTTTTAAATGGTTGATAATGAGTTATTTTCTATAAATTATCTATAAAATTTTTCTAAAAAATATAGATTATCAAGATTCACTCAAGAGGTTGAAACTGTAACTTATATGCAACAAGTTAATATGAAAAATTGTGGTTTATCTGAAACGCACATTTAACTCAGCATCCCACATTTTAGCTGGCAACCTTATACTTTAACAACATGAAACGCTGTTGTCTGAGTGGTAATGTCAATACATGTAATCAATCAGCCTGTAGAAGAGGCCAGCGGGTGCCGGGCGACGAGCTTTGAGCACGTCTGCATTCACGCACAGAGAGCAGTGGAGACGCTCTGAGGGCTGAGCCTTCGTTAATACCCGTCCTGGACTTGAGCTGCTCCACACTCTACTCCCTCGTCCCTCCCCTCTTTGCTTGTTACCTTACAATCTGGCTCTCCCTTCTCAACCCCTCCCCTGGTTTATAGTCTCTTTCTCCAACTTATCTCCCACCCAGAACATAAATCGTAGAGTTTCCCTGGGTCCCTGGCCACCTCAGTTCCTCCTTAACACCCTCGCCAGTGCATGTCCCAAAGAAACACACGAAGTGTTAACAACAGCTCTCTTTATGTTGAAACTCCAGTTGAATTTTATTCTATCTGTGCTTTTCTGTATTTTCCATGTTTTAGACTGAGTATTATTACTTTTTTTTCTTAGAAAAAGTATTTTTCTTAAAAAAATAGCCAACCAGGCTTATGGCTCTAATTAGAACCAGCTAATGGAAAGAAAGCATAAAATGTTAATGGTCATGAAATGAATGTAAGAACAAACCACACTTAAATGCAGGAAACATAAGAAAGGGTAATTGGAGCCCAAATAGGCTAAATGCATGACTTTATCCAAAAGCCACAAGGAATAGACAACATTAAATTAGATTACCAAAAATAAGAACATGATTACATAGTAAAAAACTAGGAAGATCAAAGCAGTAAAAGATATGAAAAATGTGAAAGACCTAAAAAAAAAAGGAAAAATTCTAACGTATTAGGCAAAAAGATGAAAAGAGTCAACAACTTCCCTCCCCTCACCCTCCACTCCTCCCCAGACACCCAACCTTTTGATAGAAATCTGGTGAGAGGGGTTAGAGAGAAACCAGGTGTGGTGTTTGTTATTGAGTCTTCTGATAAATGTGCACATACATAGAGATATATGTTTTAAGTCAGGTATGAGCTAGCTGGCAAAAAAAAAAAATGTTAGTTTCGATAAGAAGCAAGGAAGCAAACAAAACCCAGAAATTTGGGAAGTACACTTTAAAGTCAGATTATTTAGAAATGATTAAATACAATACATTTA